CTTTTGCCCTCATATGTCCAAGTAATCGCTGATGCTACACAGGGGCTATGTGACCTGATTCTCACCTTCTACAGGAAACAAACTGAGCACAGTGTGTAAGAGGTGAGTGTGAATGATATTATATGTACTTTACTGTGTATCTTCTAGGTCCTCATAGAGAAAACTGTCTTGTGTGCCCTTTTACACATGCTAGCAGCATCATGGTGTTAAGCTCAAGGTCTCACAAAATGGCTAGGATGACTGTGGACTTGTTCAGTTTTTAGTCTATCATTATTAGTAAATAGTTTGCATTAGAAAAGTCCCCATAAATAATGTATTTGCAAAATGAAAAAAAAAAACAACTACTAAGTCCCCAATGCCAGGATCTCAACTGTCATCCCCGCCTGACCCTGAGAGCTGAGAGGACTTTTTGAAATGTAAATACATTTTTCAGTACATTACATTCTGTATATTTCTGTTTGTCAAATTTTATCTGTTCATAAAAATGTTGTATCTGGCATCAAAATGATGCCTTTTACTAACAAATTACCAGATGCCATCACTGTGAGCTTGTAAAAAAATAGTACATTTATTGAGGTTGCTTAACAAGGTAGATAAAGTTGGTACATACAGTATGGAGAATGTTTCACATGCATGTCACTGAAGGAAAAATTTACCACCATATAGATTGCAACATAAGCATAAGAAACATATTGCTGTATAGGTTATTAGGAATTTACTGCAGCTTTATTGCAACTTTACTGCTCTTGAATGTGATAGAAATGAGGAAAAAAGTACATAGTTGTCTGCCAAAAATTCTTTCATTTGACTTACAAGCTCATTTGGTTATTAAAAACTTCAGTGTCCATCAGCATTTTAAGATTATTTACATTGCTGAACCTTTTCAAAGCTGAAAGACGATTTATGCAGGCTGTAAAATCATCACAAGAGGTTGCAGGTACATGCTGTGACTTTAGTTCACTGCAGTCAACTTCAGCCATTAAAATCTGTTTCATTCTCATCATAAACTGGATTCATAAAGTGCACGCCTGTCTGAGTCATGGAGATTGATTTATTAGTTTCGCTACTGTACTGACCAAGAATATCAGGTATCATGTCGGGCTTGTCAAACATGGGGTTTTCAAAGCCATGATCAAGAGGCTCACCAAAGTTTTCACCATCACTGTTTCTTTTCAAGCTGTTCAGTGACGGCATTTTAACAACTCCCTTTCGAATCAGGGCAATCACGATTATAATGAGTGTAATCAAAATTAAAACTCCGAACACAGCTCCAACCACTATTCCAACACCAACGCCGTTGCTGCCAGAGGATGCTTGAAATTCAGCCCCAGTGATTCCCAGGGTAGAGCCATGAGAACGAGCATCCTTCACTATTTCTTGGGCCAGAGCCTCTGACTGTGTTCCCTGCTCTCCATCCAGAATAACCACCTGGATCTCAGGTATGGTACCAAAAGGTAAGACCCCAATCAACCGTTGTTGCTTGAAGACTTTAGATATGCCCAGCTGTATAGATTTGTATTCTGGCAGAACAAGGAAAAGTTGATAGATTCTTTGCCTGTAGTTTTGCAGGTTGAAACCAGCGGCGTACTGGATGGTAATGATGACACCACACATCTCACAGCAGTGTCCTACAGGATGAAGAGGCATTTTACAGCTCAGAGAGCTGCATGTTACAGTGCTACAGATCTGTTGATGGTTTACAGAATTCCCACAGTCACAGCCGGTAGGATCCCCACAGCCCGGGTTTCCAACAGTGATAGCGGAGGATCCGTGAAACTGCAGCTGACCTGAGCGGGAGCTGAGATATTTGGAGAACTCAGATCTGGTGCCAAAAATCTTCCCCAGTACAGACACAGATTTTACAAGAATGCTAGTCTGACTGGAGCTGGTGTCCACTCTGAAGGAAGAGTGGGTTTTAAAAACTACATCATCATACTGGCAAGGGACACTCTCCTCATGGACTGAGAATAGGAACTTTCCATGCTGCAGGTCCTCCTGAGTTGCAGCTGTCTGCCACAAAGCTGGGTTAAACCACTGAAGAGGCTCTGAATCTTTGAACTGGGTCACAACACCTTGTCCACAGCCTGGCTCTTGTCCTGCCAAAACATGAAATCCAGCTCCAGAATTCAGGATGAACTCTCCATTAACTGGCAACCTCATCTCCTGCAGGGCATGTGCAGTCTCCACAAACACAGACACTTGTCTTTGGGCTGAAAACTGAACGATGTCATTTCCACATGGAACAGCGCTTTTGTCCCAGTTGGTCTTATTCTCATAGTTGGTGTCAGGAATCCACTGTTTGTACAGGGTGTTCGCTGCCCCGACAAGGCAGAATAGAAAGAGCACGTCTGGTGTTTTCAGCATTCTGAATATTTGTGAAACACTGAAAGAGCATTAGGTGACCTTTGTTTCCAGCCTTGTGACTAACACATGAGTGCACACTGCTGACCAGTGAAGGTGATGAGCTCTGCATTCCATCAGCCTGTTCAAGCAGGTGATCTGTAAAAGATTTACAATTGGCTGCAACACAGACCTGCTTTAATTTGTTCTTTTTACCCCTTTTGTCTGAGTCTTAGCAGAATATCCTGTGCACAACAAATTTCTTGAAGTTCATGATCTCCTGTCTATCCATGTGCACTGCAATACATACAATTTAAATGTAATCCGATTATTTTACAGATATAAAATTGACTTCAATATAAAAATAAACAGCTCTTTGATTTTAAAGTCAAGATCATAACCAGTTCAACAAGCTACAAAAATGTAACAGCATTGTCCACAAAATTGAAATTAAAGAGTATCTGACTGATTTTAAATATATGTCCGTTTCCTTTCTCACACAATGTTTAGGCATTTAATAGAATGTTAGTGAAACCTATTATTAAAAGGTGGATATTAAAACAATCAGAAACATGACACTAAGAAGCAGCTGCTTTGTTATGCTATTTGTAGGCTGTTTTTTTTCTAAGATGTCTCAAGTTTCCAGGACCAGGGTTTTATTCAGCAATGAGCCTACTTGCTTCTGGGAACAGTTATCAGATATCAAAATTTCTCCTCAGGCAGCGCATTGTCCGCAGTTACAGAACTACATACATTTCTGACAAAAAAAATTAGTGGCCAAACAGGAACTGAGAAGGAAGTAGCCACCAGAACTGTAAATGAAGCCTATTGTAGGAGCACTAGTGTGCGTGCAGTGATGAGAAAGTGACTAAATCAGCTGATACTCATTACAGTACAAAGGCTTTTGGGAATTTAGACACCTTGTGTTGCGTCGGCTTCCTGTGCAGTTGGACCTGCAGATAGAGCTCAGTTAGCTTGTTGTGTCAGTTAGCTGTGTCTAGTGTTGTAACAGTCTACTGTTGTAACCTTTGCTATTGGCTGGGTCACTCTTGAAAAAGAGATATTAATCTCAGTGAGGCTTCACTTTGCTAAATAAAGGATAAAAAAAGACTGACATCAGTATGGTGTATAATCTCCATGTGGTGGAAAAGACATAAAACTGATCCTGCAAACCTGCACCAAACTTTTCTCTAAGTAATGCACTTCAGCTTTTTTCTCTGACAGTCATGTATAGTAACTATTATTTATTGTTAGGATTTTTAGATAACTTTAAATGCATTTATTCAGAATAGGGCTGATTTTAAACTATACATAAGACTCTCAAACATCTGTTTCTCAGCTGACAACCCAAACAAGTACTGTTGCTGCCGTTTTACTACAGGCCGATCATTTTCCTGACTTATATCTCATGTAGAAAAACACTAGATAATGTTGTGGAAATCCATCCATCCGACACAGAAACAGCAGCACAGCTGGAAAACATCCAGGATTTGCTCAGGCCTTCCCATCCTTTCAGTGTGGAGGATGTGAGTGAAGGCGGGGATGGAGAGGGCCCACTGTGGGGGCTGGCTCCTATCTGACATCATCTGCATCAACATCTTAATCCTGGGTTGTACTCTAGTCAGCAGCAGTGCCTTCAACAGTATTACTGCTCTGCACCGGCAAATCTTCCTTATCATTCATCATCATCCTTATTATGCTGTGGATGATCAGTATCACAGTCTCCACCTCTCAAAAGGCTCAGGCAGTCTTGTTTACTGACAGCCACAGAGGCCCTGTGTGACCACGTCATTTCAGGGCTAAATGACTGTGACAGTATTGCTTCATATTGCAGCTGGGTTTGTGCCGTTTGGCCTGCTCAACACGCTGTCTTACCTGTACTTTGGAAAAAATGAGAAGTTTCTAAATCAGTTTGTTGTAGACTTATTTTCTGTGGATTTACGCAAATGACTGTGGAGCTAGAGAAAAATTTGATACAAAATCATGTCTTTACTCAATAATTTCAATTCTTACAGTAACTCACAGTCTTTAATTAACTGTGTAGGACACTCATTTTTCCCTCTTTCACATGTGGGGACTTATTCTTACGCTTTCAACTAACCTGGTTGTGTGGATGGCACCAGTAATTGATGAATCAATTCACCAGACAGATCTTTGATTTAAATGTCGACATCTCATAAGAGATATTCAAAGGTATATGTGTTTGTTTTAAATTCTAATCAGATTCATTCATGGTCTCTATGAAAGTAAAATAACTGCTCTTCTTCCAACTTCAGCCAGCTATGGTGAAAAGTCAAAGTACAGCTGCTCGGCATGTGACACATTCTAAAAGGCCTTCTGCTACTTGTACCCTTTCAACATACAGTAGAATACAGCCTTGTTGCTTCCATAATAGCCTGCATCTTGTGGAAAAATGTGGGAAGACTTGTGGAGGATCACAGCCACCACATTGTTAAGTTCCTTCCAAAAAAGTGTTTAGGACCCTTAATGGAAATAGTTCTGGTGGTTGCAGGACTTGTAACATACATAGTATATATGATGTACATACTGTACTAAAAGAGAAGAAGAAGAAGAGAAATAAGGCCTTGTATAGTGAATACGGTGTGACTGAGACTGATTTTGACTCCATTTGCACTATGATTGGCTGCACTGTCTACAGGCTGGGCCACTGGGAACATGTTTCTTGTGATGCAGGAAGCATCTCTGTGCACAAATGCTAATGCCTTCCAAAAACATACAGAGATAAGCATTAAAATGGAGAGCAACAAGTCCAGCTACTTCCTGATTTATAGACATGATAAGCTAAGTTGGAAGCGGGGTTGCAGGGTGTCTGCACCTTACTGCTGTGCGCTATCATCACTATAAGTTCTATTTATGCTTATTTTCTTATGCTACCTATAAAGGCAAAAGCCCAATAATCAATGTATTCTCATGTGTTCTGCTTATTCAACCTTCAGCATGAGAACCAGTACAAAAGGGACAACTCAAGAAAAAATCCTTAACAGTATTTGTACACTCCAAACTTAGGTGTATACTGCTGTAGAGAGATTCAGCAACGGGAAAGTGTCTGCTAATTTTTAACTGTGGCAGTTTAAAAGTCCAACTTTGGTGGATTACTTGCCAGAGAGAGACATGGCGCCATCTGGTGGTCCAAGTGTAAAGAGGACGTTTTCACTAATAAAGGATGTGTCGAAGCAACTAAAAGCTGTGCAACAGTTGATCAATTGATCTGGACTATAGACTGTGAGGATCCACAAATAGTTTGAATCAGATTTCCCATAAAGGCACACTGTTCAATCGCGATGGTATTTTCACATATCAATATATATTTTCAGGATCATTTAAGGAAATACAAATTTCAACATCAAGCATTGTAAGCTTATCCAGTCAGACCAACTGAAATCTAGTCATATACACAAAAACATACAATTTGTATTATTGTCTCCAAAACTCTGTTAAATTATCACATAAACTACAACCCCAACAAAGAGACAAGTCATTAAGAGTGAAAGTTCATTTTAAAGCATAGCAAGTATAATAAATAACAGGAAACACCAATACTGTGCCATCCAAAAGATATACCAAGCTGGAGAGCACCATATTTTCTAGAACAAGTTTGACTGAAATGTTAATATTTCATCTTTCACTTCTACGCTGTAAAGAAAAGAGCCTCAGGATTCAGCAAACACTCCAGTCATCTCAGTGCTTTGATAGACATTCTTCAGTCTTGAGGTCGGAAGAAATGTACAAACATCGCCGTACATTTCCCATCTGTTACCTCCCATCTTCCATCTTCATCGGAACCTCACTCATCTGAATGACACTCCTACCCAAGTCGGTGGCGTAAGTGCAAAGCATTATAATGATGATTATGTAGGCAAGTTAAACACAGTGAGGTTTACCAGGAAACCAACACATAGTGATGGGAAGAGGAACCCTGGAGGTGAACAGTCCCATTTGTTTAGTCACAAAGCCTTCTATCTACATCCTCTGAATCTCAAAAAGGCGGACATCAGTGTCATACCAGATAGGAGGATCCACATTTCTAGAAAAACAAAACAAGATATTTATTTAAGTCAGTGTGGAAAGATGACTATATGCAACATTCACCTCTTACACCTGACTCACCGCAAATAGACAACACCCCACATGTAAGTGCGAAACCACATGGCAGTGCCTGCGTTGGCCTGATACTTTCTGATAAGGATGGGGTGAGGAACTGGCAACAGGCCCACTAACGTGCCATGCTGGAGAAACTTCAGGATCTCTGATTCATCTGTCAGACCCCTGCAGTGAAATATGTTAGCACACTTATACAAGCATTCTGGCTCTATTTCAAAAGAATCACAGCCAATATAAGACATTTAAATGCTAGACAAAAAGGAACAGAAGTGGTTACTTACTTGTCTATGCAGATCTTCTCTACCTGGGGAACTAGCACTTGTAGCAAACGCATGATAGTCTGCAGGGGTAGCTTACACTTCCAAGAGAGGATCTGGGGGAATACGGTCTGTAGCAATTATTCATTTGCAAAATATACAATATCAATCATAAACTAAAAGCAATGAGGAGGGGAAAAGATGTGACTGACCCATTCTGGTGTAGGAGCCCAAAATGATGTTGAAGATGCACTTGACAAGCGTCTTCTCTCCATTTCTGCTTCTGTGTAGAAGACATCCTGATAATGCAAAGAAACAGATTACTAGCATATAAAATGGCCTTACACTTGTCTAGCGCTCTTCTATGCATTGCAGCACACTCAAAGCGCTTTCACACTATTTGGCCATTCACCCATTTGCACTCCCAAGCACGCACCGGTGACAATAAGAGGAGCAACTGGGGATTCAGTGTGTTGTTCAAGGACACTTCAACATGTGAACAGGACAAGCCGGGAATCAAATTTTAATCTTCCAGTTAGGAGACAACCCGCTCTACCTCCTGAGCCACAGCCGCCCCCAATCTTCTATAAACTCATAAACAAAAACATGCACACAGACACACACACTTACTTCACTGTCTTTGCCTGAGTTTGACTCAGTGTCACTGGTCCCGCCGACTGCACTCTGGTCTGGGTGAACTGTGTGCACAGAGTCCGACTTTAGAACAGACACCATGGTGCCATCCTCTGATACCTGAGACTTCTCAGTCAGTTTATCGATACCTGCAGAAAACCACCAACCACAGAAACTCAGTCACTATGTAATAGATAAAGTCAGTGATAATCTAAAATTTCAAGAAATCCAAACCCAAGAATGAAGCGACAAATAACTTATTCCTTTCCTCCATTTTCATCCAAAACCCACTAAAACACATCAGTGAGATATACTATTGCACCGGATGACATGTTGCTTCTTTACTGTAGATCTTTTTGAATCAATCAAATAGTCAGCTCCAGTAACATTTACTAAAAAATAAATCATTTGGCTTTTTTTTTTTTTTTTTTTACAAATTAAATATCAACTTTAAGGATCCAGGGCATGTGAAGTTCAGAGCCATAAGGAAGTCAGAAAGGCTAATGCACTGTTGGTTCTGGTCTGTCCATGAGATTTTCTGCAGTGACAATAATAAAAATCATTTGTCACCTTTGTCATCCTTTTCTGTATTCCAAAATGAGTCATTGAACAAATATGCCAATTCTGAATTATTAAACAATCAGTGCTTTTAGTTAGACAAGTAGCCAGTTTAACACTCAACTGGCAAAATCCAAACAGCACCCACAGTCAGTACCTGGCATAGCGACCAGGCTGGCCTTCAGTGTACCAGGCTCCGCTGGCACAGCAGGATGAGAACCCTCCATGGATACAGTCTCCTGGGAGCTAGTGCGGGAGATGACATCTGGAGACTTCCTCTTCCTCTGCAAAGCCTTTTGAATAGAAGCGGGATCAGAGGGCAGGTTGGCCATCTGGTGGAATACGTTACGTTTGCGGATGATGGCGTACACCAGGTTGCAGTTTCCTGGAGGTAAAGACAGGGGAACAGATTTAAATGAACAAGTGTGTCTGCAAAAGATGCAAAACAAAGTCATTTCTAATACACTAATGTTTACGCCAGCCAGTTTCCCTCACCATCAAACTGGTACTGGATGATATTGTTGAATGCCTCGAGAAGGAAGAACGCAAGGTGATGGTTCTGGGCTGCAGAGAACAGGAACCAACTGGTGGAGAAGGCCTCCAGCAGGTGCAGTAGTTTATTGGCTGCCACCATTGACAGACTCTTCAAATAGGGAGACACTGCAGAACAAGCAGAAAAAAATGATTAAAACTGTGCAAAGAAAACAGTTGTTTTTTATCTAACTGAAACATGAGCTATTTCTTTTAATTTCTTTGTCAAAACTTCTTAGTAGCTGATGTCACAAACAGCAATTCACCGTTTACAACAATGGTGAGTAGGCAGTCAAACAGAGGCTGGAGACGCTGGTGGCCTGTAGTGATAATCTTGTGAAACACCTACAAAACAAACAGAATGACAGCTGTGAGCACTGACTGCTTTTAATTAGCTAGTAATAATAAATCAGTAGCAGTAACACACACACAGGAGAGACGGACAGCAAGCCATGAACAGCGGCACCATCTTGGAAAGTACAACTCTGTGGACATGAAGAGCTTTACCATTTCAGATGATGTAATCTAGCAGGCGTCTCACCACTATAAGCAGGTCAGCATGAGTCCCTGTGAAGACTGGGATGTCCATAGGCACATGGATGGAGTAGGGTTTATTCAAGCGCACGCCAAAGTTTCTCTCCCCGCTCAGCAGCAGTAAAATGAACACACCAATGTGCATGAGTCCAACACGGGCTGCGGTCGAGGATAAAACACAATCGAAGTAAAAGAAATGCAAATGAGAAGTGGAGGCTTGTGGAGTGCAAAGACACTGATAACAAAGGGATGAGACTCACACTGGTCAGCCCTGGCATCATTCAGGTAGTAGAGTATAGGAACCAGAATATCCAACACATCACTGCTCTTCAGGACAAAAAACAGGAATTTCTGTCACAGGAAACAAAGGGGATTGTGTTGAATAGAGAAGGAACTGACACATATCTGTCCAGAGAAAGGGCTCATCGAAGTTCCTTTCCAACCTTATTGAAGTCGCAAAGCTTCCAGAAAAGGACCAACAACTCTTGGTGGAACTGGATCTTCTTTGTAGAATTAGGCAAGTAGGTCTGCATTAAAGGGTTGGTCAGCAGACGAGCTAAGCCCTTCAATACAAAGTCAAAATCCTGCCAATGGGAGAACACACAAAGCTTTAGACAAGTGATGTGTACAGTGAAAATATTTGCTATGGAAATTATATGATGATACGAATACCTCCTCTCTGTGAATCCTTGACAAATAATTCACAAACAGGTTTTCAGGGCCTGTAAACTGCACAGAGATGCAGAGATTTATGTGAAAAACATTTAACGCATGCCACATACTCATCACACTGATTTCTTTCCTGTGGTCGTGGTGTCATACCTCTTGCTCCTCCATGCTGGACGGGGAGGCCGGACGTTGAAGGACCCCTCCGTCATGTTCAAGTGTCACAATGAGAATCTGTACGGCCTGCTCCACTAGCTGCTCCCGGTAGTCAGCGAAGAGCAGGTGGTTGTACGGGATGCCGTAGCCCACTGGATCATAGGCGCACACCACATTCAGCAGAGAGGTGAACAGAGGCAGAGCATGTCTAGAGACAAAGACACAAAGACCATGTTAGCGAATCACATACCTCTGTGTGTAGAATTTAGCTGTCAAAACATACAAAAACAGCGGGATGGATCAACAAATGTGCTTGTCCAAACATGTGGATGTACCTTTATTTGCCCATTACCTGTTTTCTGTGGAGCAGAAGAAGGTCACCCAGGGGTTGAGGACAGTGTTGTCTGATGAAGGAGGCAGGTACATGGCCTCAGAGAAGCAGGTTAGTAACAATCTCAGTAGTTCTGTCCTGAAGTGGATCAGATACAATAATATAAGAGGTGGATAGAAACATAAGTTGGCCAATCTAAAGTGCATATTGTTTGTGATCCAGATGTTTCCAAGCATTGCTGCACACAGATAGCTGACTCACCTATTCAGGTCATGAATATAGTTGAGAGGGGGGGACTGTGCAAAGCCAACCCCTGCTTCCCAGATATATTCACAGCTGTCTATGGACTGCATGTTCTCTACCAAGTCCTGGATGATCCAACAGAAAACATTAAAATTAAATTAATTTATTCAAAGAAGAAAATGTCTTTTCTCATAATCACTGTTTATACTTTATCCAGTGAGTCCTTAAACCCGAAGGATGAAACAGAAAAACATAGTAATTTTCTGTGACTCTCCCTGAAGATTTGTATCTGACCCCATTTTCCATAGTGCAGTTTAGGGTGGAAACTGTAAAATGGTGTGGAAATAATGAGCACAACATGCTAGTTTACCAAGAAAGGTTAAAGCCCTAAAGAACTTCATTGTAAGCTGCTGCAGTCTGACATGCAACATTCCTTCCTCACTCAGAGACAAGGTGTTCTTCCTGGTAACACTGATAGTGAGTGTATCATCCACCATGATCTTTTTGTCTTCAGACACTTGAATGACAGGGTAGTTGTTGAACTTTAGAGCAGAAGAATAAAACAGTGTTCAAAACTACTTCTAACCTTTAAAACTATCAAATTAGCGTTAGCCCATGAAAAATGAAACGGCGGTGTTCCGCTGTTATCATAATGTACCATCTGATGGATGGTAATGACAGAACAGACTGATGACGTGGAATTGCACGGTGTCAGGATGCTGCGTACTCACAGGGCCTCTCTTATGGCTGTGCACAGTAAAGTCAGGGCAGAAGAGCAGGTCAGCAATAGCCAGGAGCAGTGACTCAGCCAGTGGTCGAGCGCCGTCATCATCATCCAGTTCATCTGTCTGGAAAGAATGGACATAACAAAACATTATTCTCTACCGTTCATTGAAAAAATTAAATGCTCAGTTCAACTGAAATGACCATGCAGAAACTTCAGAATATTTATCTTCTAGTTAGTGTTAACATAAGCTTCCTTTGCTAAGCCCACTCACCCCAGCTCGCCCAGCACCAGGCACAGTAGACCAGAAGAATCCTCTCCAGTCCTGGTCCTCAAAGATGTAAGGAAGGATGCGGGTCAAGATGCAAGTGCAGTTCAGGATCACCTGCTTCTCCCTCTCTGTGGGGCATCCAGACTCTGCCCCCTGCACCAGCTTCTCCACAGCCTAAGGAATCATGATTCAGTTGATTGCATGCAGTCAACATGCACACCACCAAGACAGGAATCTTATTTTCTGGAATGTTGTTCCAGTAAAAATTATGCTAACATTGTTGTTTAAACATCAAAATCTTAGTACATTCAAATCTTGTTAACACTGGTGTTATGCACCAGTGAAGACAGCTCTATACTAGGAACATGTTCTTGTAATATTTCTTGTTTACTCTGCTATCAACAGGGCAATAATGGTTTTGTTTTTGGAGAACAGAGATCTGAGCAAAGGCCTCCATCAAGCATTTTCATTTTGTGCACATCAAGTAAACTTGGCGCTACAGCAGGTAGAGGATAGAGTTTTAATGACAAATTTGAAGACCATGTAATTTGTTCCATAAAAACTGTGCACTGTGTCCACATCATTTGAAGTAGGAAGTACATTATGTATCTACACTTTGCTTCTTTTGACAAGCAAAATGTTTCGTCCATGAGACGGAGATGTGTTGCTGTTTTGGGCCCTTAACATAGATTAACTTTAAAATATGATTCATTACATTTATTCAACAACATGCTGCAGCCTGTGAAAATATGTAAACCCCCCCCCCCCAAAAAAAAAAAATCAGCTCAGCTTCAAGGGTTCTCATCTTTTTATTTTTATTTTTATGATTGGCTGTAAGTAAGTAGCCTGTATGTCTGTGCTGTTTCTGACAAGCAGCTTCAAAAGGAAGCTGGGAGCAGGAGACGGGAAGCGAGCATGAAGGAAGGGGAGTTGACTCATGCATTCCCACATTTGAGAGCATAAACCAGTGCCATACTGACAGCCTGGGCTGGGCTTTAACAAACAAAATCTTGCTGTGTTTCAGAACAATATTATTCCTTGAGGCAGCTTTAAATTCAGTCAAATCTCCTACATCATATAAATGTGTATTGCATAATTGCATTTCCGTTTTATATGTGTACTACCTTATAGCAGAGGGTTGCTAAATTTGAGGGGGACTCCTCTCGAAGAGCTCTTATCTCTGCAGCTGGCACCAGTGCAAAAACATCCTGGACCGTGGTGGTGGTGTCTGCCCAGAACTGGTCCCAGAAGGCATCATCTGTGGCTTCCACTGGCTGTGGGAAATGTGTGCGTGTCAATTAAAGCTGAATATGTAATGTCGCATGGGATTATAGAGGTTGATCTTAAATTGAACTGCAGTGCATTGAAATCATTTATCCCTTTTCATCAGAACAGGCTATATACATAGTTTGGCTGTATTATACAGCTCATTTAAGGCCTACATAAAAGCAATGTAAACACAATCTCTCTTCTAGCCACAGTGAGGAAGCATTATCTGGCACACTGATAACCACCGTCCACCTGCCACATCTGTAAACGTGGTCATTTCCTCACCTACGTCATTAGCTCTGATTTTGCTACGCCATTATTTATCATATCGTCAAAACTGACCTGTACAGCCCGAATAAAAGTAAATGGTAATTCAACCATCCGGTAGAAACGACAATCATTTAATCCAACAGACTAAAAACAACACATTTGGATGCAGTCCTGTACATCGACCTTATGAACATTTGTTATGCAAAATAGCTCAAATCAATGTGAATTCTAAAAGATCGCATGCAACATGATGCCGTTTAGTTTTTTGCTGCCACTTCATGAGCGTTATCTCATCGGTGATGCTCTCCGATGGACTCATCGGCGGTGTCTTAATATAATAATATAAGCCCTTATTTAATTGGATGGAAACGCGTATACCTGTGTTTTGGTTGTCAGCTGAATCACGGCTTTCCTGAAGTTCAGCTTTGAATCGGTGCTGCCCATAGCGATAATTTCCTAATGTCCCTCTAGGACCGATGCTGATGCCTGGCAATCTCACCTCCGTTCCTCCCTTGAGTCACTGGCGAAGGCGTTTTTGTGTGCGTGTGCGTGTGCATGTTTTTTACACTAATAGCTTGCTGCACAGGCTGCACAACATGATTTCATTTCCGGGTTGTGAAGCTGTCAACCTTTTAATCATCTTAAATGTTTTATCAAAAACATTTTAACTGCTAAAATAACAACAACAATAATAATATATTTTTAATCTAACACCCATCGGCTAATAAATGTTTCCTACTCTCTCGTTAAAATAGTAGTAATTGTTTACTTGTAACTGTCTGTTACCTTGTAGACATATTTTTATTAAAGATAATTTGATATTTTTAACACTAAAGCAATGGTAACGTTCAGCAGCTTCAGTGTATCGAATATATTGTTGTAAACAGCGACATCTTTTGGGGAAGCTAATGTTGTCAGGCAATAGGCCTATATTTGTCGATTGATGCGTCTGATTAATACTAGAGAGAGAGATAGAGAGCATGAAACACATTTATAAAAAGTATGGTGTCTAACTAACTTAAATAAACCAATAAATGTATTGGCACCTTTGTACTAAGATACTGGTACTGCAAGCGCATGCGCCGTGCTCTATTGTGTTGCCTTGGTGTGCTGCTCGTAAATGTTTCTTTCTTTCTTCAATTAGCCTACCTGTATAACACACAGACATTTAAGACACAGGTAATTAGAAAACATGTAACATACAAAACGTAATACAGTTCATTACTTTAGTGATTATCACTGTCACCAGGACTTCCGTTCTCACTTCACTTTATATACATATGATACATTTAGTATTAAATTTCTTTTGTTCCGACCGTTTTTAAATACACCATTATAGGTCTGCGCAGCCGCAGTGCCGTGTAAACACAGCTGCTGCGATTGGCTGGAGCTAGTCTACATCTAACAGTAACTTCACCGAGTTTAGAATAGTTGTAATCTAGCTTGTAGTACCAATACAACTGCCTTTGTATAGTAGAAAGTAAGCGATTTATGACATATGCGCTGTAGTATGAGAACTAATCCTGCGTCTCAGTCAAGGAGGTTAAGTTACCGTTAGCTTGCAACCAACGATAAAGCCTTTGGGACTGGCTAGTCAACTAGCTAGCTCGTTAACGCCGAGCATTTTTGTAATTCAGTAGCCAATCTCCTGAAGTGTAGTTAATCGCTATAGTTTATTGCGTTTGTTATTAGCCAAAATGGCTATTAGCATTATAATGCTGTTCAGCATAATTAGCTAGCTAGACAAGCTTAGTGTGCTAACTCATGTGATCGATTCACTTAAAGCAAGCCACCTTAACAAGTCGATAACGTCAACTAGCCGGGTGCTCCAGTCTGGTCAGAACACGTACAAACAAGGACAACGAGACTGATTTCGTGTCATCATATGTTGACTGAAAGCAGGTGAGCTAGCCCTACAATATTTTATGTACTTAACATTAACTGGTCAAATAACGCTATTGCCAGAAGCACATATCGGAGTAACGTTAACGTTACTGTGGCCTTTATTAGCCGTTTCCATCAGCCATTTTAAAAACAGTATTGATTAACGTTGTATTAAACATTTATCAGGATGCTCACATGCGAGCAGTAGTTGGTTGTGTAGTGAATATATCAACAATATAACTGGTTAACTATATTAGTTTGACAAGTTTATTTTTGACCTTCTTTGTTCTCTTTGTTTTGCTTTGCCGTTGGTAACACAGCTAGCTTGTTCTGGATAACAGTTACACAGCAGTGGTATCTTCTAAGGCAATCATCGAGGGCTGAGCAGCATTATGTAATTGCTTTAAAGTTACGTATTACGTTAATATTATGTTTTATATACACTGGCAGGATGGGACACTCAGTTGGCAGTTCATTAGGTACACGTAGCCTAAATAAACCAATACAGTCTAATACAACAGTCCTGTAATAAAACCTCCCTTCCCGATGTGATAATGTCCAGTTCTTCGTTGGAGCTGTTTTAGAAAGGCGTTGATTCAACTATATGATTTATTTGGAAGCTGTGGTTTGTGCTACTGTACTGCAGTAATACCCCGAGGTGTTTCTTTTATTTAGCACATAAATAGTATGAACAGAATAACAAATGTTCACGTGAATGTGCTTGTACCCAAACAGGAAACGGCAGCACAGTGGTGGTGATGAGGAGAGTGGCCACCTGGTGCCCCGAGCCAAAAGGCAGAGCAGAGCTCATCCCCTCTCTCCTGAGCTGGGCCGAGATGCCTGGGACTCTGAGGTACAAACAGGTGTCAGTGTTCACACACACTTCTTACAGATCAAATTTGGTAACCGACAGTAAGTTATGCAGCACTTTTCTGTGTATTATGTGTTTATTTGTTTTCTCTGGTGATCACAGTGATGCACTTTTTATTTATTTATTGTTTTTACATTTCTTTGCTTTACAAATGTGATTGTAGTGATTGTATATTGGACTCTGAGTGCCAAAACATAAATGACGTGCATATAAATAAGTGTTTTTAGAATCATCATGGGTAATGATTTAATTTAAAACATTTCAGTTTGTCTTTTAATTTCACAAAAAAGAAACATTAAATGTAATGCCACTTTAGTCTCTGTAATTGAACCCCTGAATGTTGACATTCATGGCAAGCTAGCACACCGCTAATGTTGACATCTGCATTTCAGTCAACCAACAGTGAGAGCAACAGCAACATCAGCAGTCCAGAACATGCAGCTGGCAGCTGTAGCAGTCAGTGTGTTGTGGGCCCCTGCAGTCCTCTCAGCTCCGTCGACTCCTCAGAACTAGCCAGTTCTACAAATCTGGAGTCCTACCTGCAGATCAACCGCATTCTGAAGGAGGCCCACTTCCAAAGTTTGCAGAGCCGAGGTCAGCTCAGAGATGCGCAATGACCTAATGTCCTTCTGTCATCCCCCAGAGGTCTGCATCCTTGAAGCAGTGAATCACTTCACTCAGCACATCCCCACCCATCTCCAGTTACTGTGAAATCTCACAGCTCTACATATCTTTGGATGGAGACCAGCTCCTGGTCAGGTATCTGGAGGGGGTTCATCATTAAAATAAATCAGAGATAATCGTTTTAGCAATAATAACTGTGTGAACAACTTAAACATTTTTTTGTGCTGACAAGTCTGGTTTACATGCTGCTCTAAGAGTATTTAGAGTGACTGATCGACGATAAATCCCTGTGTTTTGTCTTAAATGTTGGATGAAAACTGCACTACTGGAGCTGCAGAAATGGCACCAAACACAGTTTTTAGGCCAGTCATTGTGACTGGTTTAGTCTCCTTGTAGGGTACTTAGATTGTTTTATGCTGAATCTGATGTCTGTGTAAGTACATGGACCAGCCTCAGGGAGGATTTGCACTTGTCTTGGACTGCTCATTTGCTTTTATATTCAGACAGAGATTCCTTTACTAGGGGAGTGGGTTGCGTAGAAGCCTTGGGTGTTAACTTGGCCGAGGAGATTTTATTTTTTCTCCTCATTTTGGTAGTTTATAGAATGTTTATACATCTTGGCACTACAGAGTCAGCTCATGGAATAAGTGATGTAATTTTACCATTGATCACAATCCTTGTAAAAGCATTTTATAGCACTACCATACAGGGAATTTGTAAACACCTTTGCTAATTTGCCCCCAGCTACTGCACTTAGATTGGTTAAAAACACTCTGCCATGTTTGTCCCATTGACCTATCAGTGCACGTAATGAGAAGCAGATGCAGATCCAGCTCCAGGTGCAGATTAAATTTGATAAACATACTTCCAGCTATGATCTTTGTTTTATTTTCTGCGGATCATGGAATAGACAAATAGTTTCATGATGTGACCGTAACATTCTCTTGTTATAACTAAATTATGGGATTTCAACTTCCTGTTTGCTCCTGATCATTAGATAATAACACCATTGATTGTGAGGAGACAAATCACCTTGGATCAGCAGCATTGGCAGATATCATTGCTCATAGTAGTTATCAGAATTTAACACTATTAGTATGAAATGGTACAACTACAACCAAATGAGTCGTCCAGCAGTAGGCTACAATATCCCCGTAGAGTGATGTTGCACTTGTGGTAGTCAGCTGTTAACAATATAATAATATTGATACAAAACAACATTAGGTTGAGATTGTATGTTTGTGGATTATAGATAAATACTCCATCTTGCATGTTTTCTAATAGCCATGAGAATACAGAATGATGTCTGTCAGAATTGATCAGTGATTTCTCATGACCACAAAGAGAAAGCAAAACATAGTAACACCATGAGCTCTGCAGCCTTCCATACTTCTGAGACATACTGTTTCATTATTTTTGTATGGGGGCAGTTTGATGTGGCTTTTGGACATGTAGAGAAATGTAATTTTATCAGTTCAGAGGGGGTTACAGAACAGCTTTTAGAAACACAAAGACATTCCCAAAGCTTTGTTTGCAATATTACAGGAGCCACTAAAATGCTGTGTAAATTGCAGGCAAGCCTTTCTGCCTGTGCACTACCATTTGACGAATGCCGTATCAGTGTCCAGTCACAGTGAACATCCAGGTAAAAGCACTGACCGTAAGGCTGTGTGTCTTGTCATCTTAAAGTGAGAGGTTTCATTAAACAGGAGGTAGGTCAGTTGTTTATTTTATTTTATTTTATTTTTTTGATTGCTGTGTCAGAATTGAACGCCTTTCCAAGATGTGGTGTATTTTTTTTTTTCAATGATTCATATATTTTTTGTATTTAGTAATGTACATGACATTAACTTGGCCATTGACTTTTTCCCTTGTAAATATCCCATAATTTCAGGAATAAAAATTTTTGAAAGAAGGCTTTTTTTTTTTTTTTTTACACAAATCTTTTGATTTTGTCATTGAGCTAAAACGTATAGCAGGGTGAAATGTTGAGCCTGTACTTGGCATTTTTTAATATGGCTTTATAAATGTCAAACATGGTGTTGCTGGGATACTTTGTCTATTTATATTGGCTCACAGTGAGGAAATACCTATTAGTTTTACATTATATGTACTGCACGCATGTAAGAAATTTTTCTGTCCTCATTTTTTTCCTCCAAATGGTGAGTAATAAATGACCCCCCATGCACTGAGACCATCATTAATAAGACATG